AAATAATGAAATTTTAATAAATTACATTATAATTTATACAGCAACTTCTATTCTATAAATTTGGTCTTTTTTAAACAAAGGTCAAATTTATTTCATGTTTATTTCTCTGATAATATTTACCATCTTTCGCAGTATACATCAAATAAATAAAATTTGGTTATGAAATTTAATATTATTCTATTTTGGTTTATTATTTTCAAAAATGAACCATTGTGATCGACCAAAAATTTCAACAAACGAATAAAACATTTTTGTCCGTCCGCCGTCCGCGAATTTTCTCCGAAACTACTGGACCGATTTTTTTTTCAAATTTAGATATAAAATCAGATGTCACCCGAGAATGAGCCTCATTCATCGACATTACTATCCGCCTTTTAGTTCCAAAATAGCGGCCAAAAAACTTGCGTTGCTATTGACTGTAGCGCCAAAACGAATGTACCGATTTCAATGAAACTTCGCTGAAGTCATTTTCTCGACGCCCTTTAAATTTATCTATATAACACACTTCAACGAAAAGAAGCTAGAAAAAAAGTTAAGAGGGATTGTAAAATTAGATTCAGAATAACTCAAAAAGTATACACTTCTTTATGAATATTGTGATAAGATGTTTCAAAGGCTTTTAAATTTTCTAAAAAATGAAGGAAGTTTCATCGAAATAAAAAACAAAATAAAATTTGTTAAAATCGGACAATTAGGAGCAAACATATGGTCTCTAGTTTTTTTTTTTTTGTATGTTCTTCTGCAAAGGTTATATCCTTTGTTTTGGTTTTGAATTTTTAATGTGTTACTGAAGTAATGCTTGTTTTTTAAAGCATATTACTAATAATTAAAAAAAAAGTTTAGTCCAATAATTGGAATCACCTTTTATTTATTTTTCTTTGTAATTAGGAAGGTAATGTTACTTTACATGTATAATTGTTTGGAAATAATAAACCATTGTGAAATAATTTGAAGCGTTGTTTTTAGTTGGGAAGGTAGGGTAGCTTAGGGAATAAGCAACTACTATGTCCCAGATCTTGGGTTCGAGTCCTGTTGGTACAGGATTTATTTAGTTGGTTACATCAACAGTGGAGTGATCTTGGGGATTATAAACCCTACTTGGGCACATCCAGCCTCTTAATTATTCAAAGTGGGTACTCTTGATTAATTGATTAAGGGGAAAAACCTGGAGGTTGATTGTAGCCTGAGTCAAATCGTTGCACTTCCGTTGATTAAAAAACAGAACCAGTATTTCCTGTGAAGTATTGAACCAATGATTCTCCTTGGATTATAGTGGCAAATTATTTATTATTTCGATAAATAATATAATTATTTTTTAAATAAAATATCACGGGGGAGATCGGACTTTCACAATGTAATTCATCTCAAAATAAAAAATTATCTTAGTCCATACATAGGCGCTGACTTTCGATTTTGATTGAGGGGGGAATGGACTAGTAGTTCCTACTATGAGTAAAAATTCAATATAATTATTGTGAAACGAACCAATATAATACTGAATATTTAAAAATCAATTTATTTATATATAATTGTGGGTAAATGGTTGACTGTCGCGAATAATGAAGAGAAGAATGGTTGGGCTGATCAGTCAGAAATAAGAAGGCAAAAATAAATTATAATATTTATTTTGACATTTGCCGACGTTTCGACCTGAAGTTCAGGCCTTCATCAGGGCTATATAAAGAACCAGATAACAAGATATGAGAAACATGAGTAGTGTAGGTAAAAAAAAAATTAAAGTAAAATGAAGTTGGTAGAATAATGACAATAGTAAGAACCAAGAGATAAATGATAATAACCGGTACAAAGTGTGGAATGATGAAGTAAACATAATAAAAAAAAAGGTGACATAAGTATTAAAATGGGAATCTTAGAATGAATTGTAAAACAGAAAAAAATGAATATGAAGCTATATAAGAAATGAAAATAAATAGTAAAATTAAGATCATCGTTTCACACTTTGTAACGGTTATTATTATTTATCTCTTAGTTCTGATTATTGTCATTATTCTAACAACTTCATTTTACTTTAATTTTTTTTACCTAAATTACTCATGTTTCTCATATCTTGTTATCTGGTTCTTTATATAGCCCTGATGAAGGCCTGAACTTCAGGTCGAAACGTCGGCAAATGTCAAAATAAATATTATCATTTATTTTTGCCTTCTTATTTAACTGATCACCCCAACTATTCTTCTCTTCATTCCTCAATTTATATATGTGTTTGGATAGTCGTAGGATTATTTTATTTTTTTTTTAATATACATATGAATATACTTGAAAATATCTGAACAAAACATCTGGATAAATTACAATCTGTATACATAAAGAAGGGGAATAGACTCGGTAACATAGGTACATTTCCAGAACTTTCAAGCTAAAAATGAATAATGTTAAAAACTGAAAAATACTTTTGATTTCTTAGTTTGTAAAACTTCCAAATAAAAATAAAACTTTTTCATAATCTGACTATGTAAAAATATCTATAAAAATACTCTCCATAAAATATATTCATACTTGTACTTATTAAATATATTTTTTCCAACTTTATTGCGAAAATGTATTGGGAAATTACGTGAAAATATCCACATGAAAGTTGAATGAATCATAAAATCCAAGGATACGTTTTTATTTTATCATTCCTGAATATGAATGAAAATTTAAATAATAGGAATATTTATGTAGAGATAAAATAGTTACGTACCTACTTATACAGCTTAGGAAGTAAGTCGACTTTTTTTATTTTCTTAATAGATTTTTGTTTACATATTTCATTCATTTTTACTTTCACTTACTTATATATGTAATATATAGTAAGGATAAGTATTGCGATAGAGAAAATTTTTGAATCTGAGTTCTCAACGGAAATATACGTTTTGAGGTACAGTGAGTCGAAATGACCAAGTCCCGAAAAATGGTCTGTGTGTCTGTGTGTTTGTATGTTAGCAGTCTAGCTCAAAAACGAAAAGTCCTACGAAACTGATATTACGTATTTAAGATAGGTATATGCCTTAGATGTGACGGCAACTTTTCCCTTAAAATCAGCTAACCGGAAGTGGCACTTTATATCAACGCTGAAACACATTTTCACAATTTTCTCAAAAACGGCTCTAACGATTTTGATTAAACTCTGTGTATCATTGTATAATTAAGTAGTCTTTAATATCAATTAGATCTTATCCCTATTGATGTCACTTTACAGGGCTTAAACGCCCAATGTTCATATACGTCTTCCTCTGAAGTACCTTTAATATGGTTTATTTTAAAAAGTTAAAAATCATTTCAACATTGCAATCACCACCTCCGGAATCAACTTATTCATAATCTTCATAGATAACATTTTCGACTAAAAATATTACTAAAATGACATCACTTAAAAATATTGAAATTGGAGTTAGTCATTCTGAAGTTTATAAAAGCAAAGAAAGTTGTGTGGTTTATAAAAGCAGATGAAATGACTACATTTTTTTTGCCTGTTGTCGATATATTAAATAGACATTTTGTAATTATAATGGTCTTAATGAATTGTTATCTGTAAGCTTTAAGCTTTAGCTCCGTTTAAAATGCACTTCAAAAAAATTTATAATAGCCCAGAAAATAATTTCTATTCATAGTAGATCGGTAAAGTGAAAGTTGTGTGTTGCGCGCACCAGATTTTTCATTTTCTTAATAGATTTTTGTTTACATATTTTATTCATTCATGTTTGTTATTTATTTTATTTTTTTTTGTTTTTACTTCAAATTATTGGAGGGGAAACGAAACGATATTCTGCACTCTCCTCCAACTTTTTTTTTCAATTATAAGGGACCTAATAAAGGTATAAATCACTAATTATTTATTATTTTTGAAAATATGTGAACAAAACACGTGGATAAATTACAATCTGTATACATTAAAATAGTAGGAAAGGGAACAAGTCTAGGTAACACAGGTAGATTTCCAGAACTTGTACAGCTAAAAATGAATAATGTTTTAAAACTAAAACGGTTTCACAGCCTGACTATGTAAAAATGCCTATAAAAATATCCTCTATAAAACTTATTCATACTTGTACTTGTTAAATATATTTTTTTCAACTTTAATGAGAAAATTTATTGGAAAATCACGTGAAAAAGTCCACATGAAAGGTAAATGAATCATAAAATCTAAGGATAAGTTTTTATTTTATCATCCTTAAATATGAATGAAAATTTAAATAATAGGAATATTTATGATAGAATAGTTACGTATCTACTTATAGCCCTTAGCAAGTAAGTCGATTTTTTTAATTTTCTTAATAGATTTTCGTTTACATATTTTATTTATTCATGTGGCTTATTTGTTATCAGTTTTAATATTTTTCACTTTATATTATCGGAGGGGGAACGAAACTATATTCTGCCCCCCAACATTTTTTTTTAAATATAAGAAACCTAATAAAGGTTAGTGTTGCCCCAAATCGGTCTTGGTCTTGCACTTTACAAGACCAAGACCATGGCCGCCTAACTGTTGCAAGACCAAGATCAGGACTAGTTAAAAAGAATCGATTTTTCAAAAAAAAATTAAGGCAAAATAGTTACTAATACTCGACAGTTTTGCAACTATATGTTAATAATTGGTATAACCAATATACTTTTGCAATTAACTCGTCTAATTTTTCATACGGTCTTAGTTAGATTTCTCTTATCTAAAAAATTACTTATCTTAAAAATTAATTAGTAATATCTCTATTGTAATAACCTAATAAGTAACTGCAAGACTCTTGCGCAAGACCAAGACCATGAACAAGACTGAGTTTGCAAGACCAAGACTCGTGTTGGTCTCGCATTTGGGTTACACTAATAAAGGTATATATCACTAAGTATTTTTTCTGACTAAAATTGCTTAGAGTTTTAAATAGAAAAATACGCACAGGTCGTTTTTAAAATCATAAAACTTTTATCGAAATTATAAAATAAAATAAAAAGTTGAATATTAACTATACTTATTTATATATTATATAATATGAATATTAAGTTACCTTAGACCTGTTGGAGAAGACTCCCTTGCCGTATTGTACAGCCATCGCTTTGACTTCCCATCACAGACCATCCGCACTCTCAGCGACCACCTCACCGACTGAGCTAGCGCGGCTGTAGGAAGGCCTCGCCTGATTGGCCGAGAGAGGGAGGCATGGCTCATCCAATGACAAAGAGGCCCTTATGTTCTGCCACAGGATGATGTCCTTAAGAGTCCTTTAATCCTTCGTTCTGAGTTAATCGAATCAGATCGACGCTGACATTCCCTTCCCATGATGTAAGGTCGATATCGAGGATCTTATCTCTCTGTCGCAAGCTTCCTAGGAACTGTAGTAAATATACATCAGGAATTTCGTATCGTCTTTTTCCTGATAATTATTAATCAGATAAAACACTGTTCTAGTTTTTAATTTTATATGGTCGAAGCAATAGGCGTCGACTTATGCATGTTGGAGGAGGGGCGAACCATTCTACAAAAAAAAAAAAATTTAAACTTTGTATAAAATTTATTAGTGATAATTAACGGAATCAACATTTTTTCTATTTATTAAACATATATCACTTTTATCGAGCTCTTAAGATTAATGGATTTAGACGAATGATTATCAATAGAGAGCGAATATCACCAAGAGAGCGCGAATTATAGTTTTGATTCTTAATTTTATACCAGATCTTAAATAAAAATTTTTTTATATTATTTCTTAATGATATTTACAACTATATTAAATAAATACATCTAGTAAATTTGAACATATGGATATAATGACATGAATACACTTGCTGAGTAACTACCCAATGGTAGCACTCTTGTGATATGTCTACATTAGTAGATCATGGGGCCATCTTCTTTTCAGACGCCTCGGAGGGTTATCAGGAATTGAAGAGGAAGCAAGGTAAGAAACGAGAGGATTGGGATGATTCTGAAGTTTATTATGGAAGGACAGGTATCTGGATTGGGCCAGATTTTAAACATTAAGGTAATTATGGATGGTTTTATTTGTAATAAAGTAGGGAGTATTGAGGATTTTACGAAGGATTTTGGATTGTAAGGATTGGATAAGAAAGGAATGTGAAGGTTTGGTAGAGCCCTATAGCTCAACTCCGAAAGTCCAAATAAGCCTTATTATAGTCATGTAAATGAGTCTTTTGTAATTAATTGGAAGGTTAGAGCGTTTGTCTAGTAAGTGTTGAAGTATTCGGAAACGTCGAGGATTCCAAGTTAGACGTTTGTCCAGGTGGAGTCCTAGGTAACGGATTTGTTCAACAGGAATAAATGAGGTGTTGTTAAAGGATACTGAAGGACAGGAAGTCATTGGTTTACGACGAAATAATAAAATGTTATGAAAAATAGTATGTTCTCTAACATTTGTGTTATAAAAATTATAAATTAAGCAGGTATTGTTATTTAAAAAGTAAATATTTAATATAATTAGATTTTGGTTGATATTGAAAAATCACGACATCATTTATATATTATTAGCTGGAGAAGTTGGTTGGAGGTTGCAGCCATAGTCTAATACTAATAAAAAATTTATTACCATTGTGCCAACTTTTCGCCCTAAATTTTAGATAGTCCTTCATTAGGGCTTTGCAAAGACAAGATAACATTTTGATTATAAGAAAGAGATAGAAAATATAATCTTAAAAAGAAATGAAATAATATTATTTTTTTTTATTATTATATGATATTTACAACTGTATAAAAAAATACATCTAGTAAATTCGTACATGGATATAATGACATGAAACACATGTTGAGAATCTACCCATTGGTAGCACTCTAATAATATGTCTATATTAGGAGATCACGGGGCCATCTTCCTTTCAGACGCCTCGGAGGGCTACCAGGAATTGAAGAGGAAGCAAGGTTAAAAAAGAGAGGGTTGGGATGATTCTAAAGTTTATTATGGAAGGATAGGTATATGCATTGGGCCAGATCTGAAACATTAAGGTGATTATGGATGGTTTTATTTGTAATAAAGTAGGGAGCATTGAGGATTTTACGAAGGATTTTGGATTGTAAGGATTGGATGCGAGAGGAATTCGATGGTTTAGTGGAGCCCCATAGCTCAACTCCCTAAGTCCAAATAGGCCTTATTATAGTCATGTATATGAGTCTTTCGTAATTAATTGGAAGCTTAGAGCGTTTGTCTAGTAAGTGTTGGAGTAGTCGGAAACGTCGAGCGGTTTCTTGTCGTTTCAGTCTGGTATGATTTGTCCAGGTGCACTAGCGGATCCAGGATTTAATTTGGGGAGGGGGAGGCTTCAGCCCGAAAGCCCTCCCTCCATCCCCCTAGATCCTCCCCTTGTCCAGGTGTAGTCCTAGGTAACGGATTTGCTCAACTGGGATAAGTGATTATTGTTAAAGGAAACTGTAGGACAGGAAGTCATTGGTTTACGACGCTTAAATAAAAGTGGGACATTTCAAGCCACATGAAGATACTGTCTCAACGAATCGAGACATTACAAATTAATTCATAATTTACGAATAACTCGAAAAGTACACAAGTTTTGATATAGTATACATTTAAGTATTAAGGGAATATCACGCTACTAAATTACCTACAAAACAAAAAAAAAAAAAATCGAACAATTGTTAACAAAGATACAGTCCATTAGTTTTGGTATACTTAATAATATCTTCCTTTTTAAAGGTATTGCATTTAGGAGTAGAATAGTCCACTTTTTTCCTGGCTTTTATATTAACTTTATTATTTCTTAAAGGCATTTGGTTGTTCTTACATTTTATTTTTTTTAATAATTTAAAAATCACAAGATCAGGGCATTATTTTGTCTTTATTACTTTCATTATCTTTCCAGTCAGCGTTTAAAAATAGGTCTTAGCAAAAAAATTTGTACAAATATTTTGGTTTATATTATATTAAATGGAACAATTGTAATCCACCAAGGAAAAAATATTAATTCCTCCCTTACATACTTATTTCCATATTGTTTTGCTATTTCTTCACTAAACAAAATGTTCCGTGAATCATTCGCATGGGCCAAATAGTAAAAAAATAATAAAATTTTATAATTTTTTTTTCTCGGCTCCTCGGCAAGAACTATCGAACATGGGTCCAATATTTTTCGACCTAGTATCATCCCACGTCTGTAACCTCCAATTTTAAGTCTGTAAAGCCAACATAAAGCAATATATATATATTACTTTTAAAACATGACGGAAAAAATAAATTGATTGCATGCATTTTCACTTAGAACAAAATACTTTTATGTAACGGTATTTTTTATCTATGGTGTAAAAAATAAATAACAAAATTTTGCTACTTATTAGTCATCAAAGTAATAAAAAAAAAAAAAAAAACGGCATTCCCAAAACTGGTCCACCTTCATATTAAGGAAAAAAGTCTTTATTAAATCTTGCGTGTGAAGCGAGAGCGTTGACATATCCCAATGCGGGAACTGGTTTATCTTTTAATAAATCCTTGAAATTATTGGATAAATTCTACTACTAAGTGTCAGTAATGAATTTTGGTCCTGATTTTTTATATTTCTTTAATGTTAATTATAATAAATGTTATCTGTTAATTATTAGATTGCTCAATCTATATATTTATCTAAACAGGGTGTTTCGTAATTGCACGGTACTATTTTAGGTATGTGTTCACTAACACAAAATAAAGAAAAAAGTTCATATTAACATATATCTCAAACTCTTTTTATTAAACAGATATCAAAGTTTAAATATTTATTATTTGTTACTACATTAAGACTGACTGTACAAAATTTAAAATTAAATAACAGGTTTTAATCACCTGATAAACAAATGAACGATAAGCAATGGCAGTAGTTGCTCATCTGTTTGTCTAGTTCTGTGTGTTTCTAGTAATCTTTCTAATTATCATGGGTATAATCCATGAGTACAATACAAAAGAAAAAAATGCATACTTTTTGAGTTATTCGCAAATGAAGTTCCTTTTTTCCTTCATAACTTTTCCCCCAGAAATATCGGTGGGATATGACTATTTCTCGCATGTGAAGGAGAAGAATATCTTCAAAATGAGTGGTCAATCATTGGATTTGATGAAGAATTGACGAAATTATGGCGTACCGAAAAAAAAACACCTTTTAGAAATAATATAAAGGATAATAATGTTTTTTTACTTTTTTCTCCATCGATTTCTAAGTTATTATATATCTATCGAATTTTTTTTTTTAAATGTTAAATAAGAAAAAAATATTGCTAATTGTGTCGAACGAAATGTAATGTACAATAAATTCCAAAAACCCAAAGACGCTACCAGTAAATTTTTGTTATGAAAAAACTATTTAGATTCGTTTTCAGAACACATTAAAACTCTTAAATACGAGTTTTTTTCGAAATAAAAAAATACAAATTTTTGGAGTTAACTTTCTGGGAGAATTTTTTTTCATCCTGTTTACTAAAATATTCATAACTGCTCAGGATTTTCTTATTTGTTCCAAGTATTACTTTGGGTTATTGTACATTAGAATTCCTTCAACACAATTAGCAATATTGTTTTCATATTTTACATACAACATTTTGCTTATGCGTTTTTCGAATTATACGTATCCTGAGACGTAAAACCTCAAATTTTGAGAGGGAGTTAAGTTTTTGAATTTTTTGTTCGATCACAATGGTTCATTATTGAAAATAATAAACCTAAAATTTTTAAAAATCGTGATATATTTACTAATAGTGTTTTGATTTCGATGAAACTTTCTTCATTTTTTAGGAAATTTAAATACCTTTGAAACATCTCATCACAATATCGACAAAAAATGTGTATACATTTGAGTTTTACGGAATCTAATTTTATCATTCCTCGTAACTTTTTTTCAAGCTCCTTTACGTTAAAGTGTGCTATATAAATAAATTTAAAGGTCATCGAGAATAAGACTTTAGCCAAGTTTCATTGAAAACGGTACATTCGTTTAGGCGCTACCTTTTAATAGCAACGCAGGTTTTTCGATCGCCATCTTGAAAGGAAAAGGCGGAGAGTAATGTCGATGAAGGAGGGTCATCCTCGGGTGATCTGTAATTTTAAAGCTAAATTTGAAAAAATCGGTCCAGTAGTTTCGGAGAAAATGCGCGGACGGCGGACGGACAAAAAAATTTCATACTTTTTTCGAATTCTACGTATTCTGAAACGTAAAACCTCAACTTTTGAGAGGGGATCAAGTTTTTGAATTTTTTGTTCGAGCACAATGGTTCATTATTGAAAATAATAAACCAAATTATTCATTTGACATATAATAATTTAGACATTCGTGCAGAGAAAAGTCAAAGAACATTAATTAAAAAAAATAATACAATTTTATAATGATAATGAAAGGCTTAGCGAACC